CATTCGTTGTGGGGTTGTCCCTCTCTGCTTGTAATCTGTCTACTAAGTCTTCCAGGTCCATCTCGCGCCGAATGGACGCTGCCAACTCGGCCGAGATGGCCTTTAATTCTTCTTCCATTTCTTCGATTAGATATTGTGGCGATATACTAGCGGCTGATGGCGTTGTCAGGTAAGATTCGCCGTATTCCCTTGAGTTTGGAGATCCAAATAGTCCCTTGGGGGCGTCCAGTAGTGATTGTGGTCCGACTGTTGTAACTGGGGATGCATCTGTAACGCTGGTCGCCTTTGAAAAGTTAAAGGGTGAAGGAAGAGGCGAATATCCTTTGTCTGACGTTTCTGTGTTCGAAGGCGAAGAGGTAGTCCAGCCAAAGAACGTTCCTAGCTTTGATGAGCGTGGTGACTTCGGTAGAGGCTTGTCGGTATTGGGAGTCTTTATGTCGTTTCTATCGGCTTTTGGAGTCAACGATATATCGTCCGGGTTGATCTTCAACTGTGGAGGTGTTGTTTTCCGGGTGATATGCAATGACATAGTATTAGAGTGATAAGAATTATGATTATTATTATTATCCGACGAATCCGATTTGTATCCGTCGAGAATGTTGTCACTTAGCCGGTCCTCCTCTTCGTCACTAAAGAGATCGTCATAGGCGGTCGGTTCCTGGTGCTGCGACAAGTCGGTGGTGTGGCTTGTTTGAGAAGCGTCAGGGTTACTACCCTGAGAAGTTGGACGTTCGACTTCACCGGCTGTCACAGCCGGGCTGGAGTCGACAGAAGCTAATGGATGACGAGCCTCGGGAGGTTTCCTGGATAAATTCGAAGATTAATTAGTGACACTCAACTTAGATAACCAGAACTGGATTGCAGATCAATAAAATTTTTGACTTACTCTACGTTGCTCTGAATCAATATGAAATCGTGGGGCGATTCCAATCCTGGTTTGTCTAATGGACCGGCTGGAGGGCGAGGAAACTCGTAAACAGTAGGGCTATCAACCGAAAAGGAACGAGAAAATCTGTGGTCTGGTCCAGGCAGCCCCTTGGCGAAAGCGAGGTACTCTCCAGAAGAGTACCTCGTAGCAATTGACGACGCGGTTGATGACAGCGGCTTGCGTCGAATAGACCGGACGGGCGATACCACGGCGGAGCTGTCGATGACAAGCTTCTTCGTGTTTCTCGAACCCGGTAAGGCTTGAGCTGAGTCAAGGGATTGGGATTGGTCTGGGAGGGAGGGAATGGACTGGTGAAGTATAGACAGATCAGATGAGGCACGGGAAGTCTCAGAGTAGGCCGTTAAGGAAGGCCGACGCTGGTGGTTTTGGAGGATCTGGTTCGGCAGAGGCTGAGGGACAGACATGGTGGTCGATATACTACGTATCAGTTACTCCCTTGTCCTGTCATTCATGGTTAGGAGGAATGAGTGGAGAGTTACAGGCTTAGGCTAAGAGATTATCGAATCGGCCTGCCAGAGGAACTGGTAATGTTTCACTGATACAATCAATAACAGGAAAGCAACGTGAGTAAACCTAGCAAATAATAGACTGCCAGAAAGAGTGAGGGCGCACAATAGAGAAAGAGCGAAAAAGGAACCACACCTCACGCGTCTTAGCATGGGGGAACATGGGTTGGGAATGTTCGAAAGGGGTATGGCGGCATGGACTACAGGCCGGGTAGCGTCGCAATCGGTCGTTTATCCATTATTAGACCATCGAAATGTCCAGGGGGATATCAAGGATGTGGGCAGCCGTGGACGTCGACTGTGTAGTGGTGTCTCTTGCAGAATGAGGCAAGCGCTTGAAAGATGATGGGCAGCTTAGTAGACGCGCGACTTTTCCCCCGTTTGGTTCTGAGTTGGCTTTGGGTATGCCTGAATACCTACTCCCTAGCGAGGTAGATATGCCTGGGTAATGCCTGGGTAATGCCTGACATGCTTCTACTTTGGTTCGTGTGGCTTTCAAGAAGCAATTCTAGTGGCTTATTACTACTCTCCACCCCTGTCAGCCTATCAAATACTCATTAGCATTCCGAGCTCATAGCCCCTTGTTGCATCCGTTTTTGTCCATTTGCAATTTTAACTCCCTGTAGCCGTACAAGTACTATGTAACCTTCCGGGCAAGGCTGGTGTAAACCGAGAATGAGGAACATAATATCCATAATATCTTGCAAGCGAATACGCGGGTGATTAGTTGACGAAGGGGATAAATTATTTCTGTTGCACTGCTGGCTATGCACCTACACGTAGGTTACAGTTTGTTTGTGCATTCTCCTGCATACTGCAGGTACTGACCTGCATACGACGGCACTTACATGCCCAACCGGGCACCCTAGGTTAACGTAGGGTAGCGTGATTGAACGTGATTGGTAAATGATCATCCATCTCTACCTTGTGGGGAGATGGAGGAGCGTCGGGTCGCTTAGAGGTGCGTGTGTTGTAATTAATCTTACACTACTTCGACGTATCCCCTATTTAGATTGACAGATAAAGTAAAGATCGATCTCAACCAGCTGATTGAATGATTCGTGGAGCGGCTAACGGAAAGTTTTGTGGCGGAAGACTACCTGTTACTATTGTTACCGATATGAGAAGGGAAAAAAATAATAATGATAATAATAGCGTAGCGCGCGGTAAGATATGGCGTCAGTAATATCCAGTACCAAACGTCTCATGGAAAACATTCATAAACCGTAGGAACTAGGACTGCCTAGAAAAGTCAGATCATAAAAAGACTTCGTACTGCAATAAGTCAAGGCACCCCAGACTTAAAAAGTCCGTGTAGACTTGACCCTGACCCAGTAGTCAACTTAATTAGTTTGATCTCTTTGATTAGCTTGAGCCTCAATTCGGCATCTGGTAAACATCGCGCCGGCGCCGTACTTCAGATATGTACTACATTAGGCACGTGGTATGAACGTTAATATAGATGCCAGCAACGGGTTTTGCAGGATACCTCGTTGACAGTTCCAGTTGCTTAGGTAGGAATAAAACCGACGAAGAACGGAATCGCGAGCACTTGTAGGCGCAGTATTCCTCCTTAGTCGCACGACTCGACAGACATGATAGGCCACGGTGATTTGAGGGTCGTTCGGTAAATCAAGGCCTTTCCCACAAGGGTGCTTTCACTGTCAGCACTTTCAATCCTGGCGCGCATCAGTGGAACGGTCTTCCCAGTAGGGGAAGCCACCGAAGTCCAGACTCGTGATCGCTTAACTTACCTTAGGCAGCATAGCATCTCCGGGGGGCTACCAGGGGCAAGTCACTCTCCGAATCTAACTGGTCGATTGATAGGCCTACGTAGAGACACAAGAGGCATTTCAGGTATTCAGGTATTATCATACTAAATCGAAATTTTAATAGGCTCTTCGAAAAACATCACATACATACGCCATGGAAAGCACAATTGATAGAAATAGGAATAACGAGTGAAACGATTCGGCGTAATAATTAAATGACATAACCAGATCACATGGTACATAGTAGAGTCATAGTAAACTCCGACTTGATAAAAATAGCCTTGTCTGCACGTCATGAAAGACATGGCGCGGTACGTACCCGAAAGTTTAAAATCCGACCTGATTGACAGCTTCCAATTGGTTGTTCGATGCGGGTACGTACAGAAGGTTCGAGTTACAGAATTGATCCTGTTAATCAGCTTTGGAAGCTGCTTAAGCTTAACTAATATAAAATATTCCTACATGTAAGAGCCTTCTAGAGCCCTTCTCTTCTCTGGCGTAGTAATTAAATCCTATGCCTAACTAAATCAGCATATGTTCATTATAAACGCCAGGAAAACGAGCCGGAATATCCGAATACCCAGATGAAAAGATGTCCTAGGTCGTGGATCCGTTTCACCTGATCACTATGGTGTTTAGGAGTTAAGAAAAGAATACTAAGCTTTATAAAGCCACCAGCGACCTACTATACCTAGAGATTTAGTATTTGCATTTTCCTATTAAGGGCGAGCTATTTATTAAAGTGTACCGATGTCAACTGACCACACGTCCTACAAGTTGGCTCACCTGAAACTCTGACCTATTAACGAACCGTGGAAAACTTCCAAATCCTCTCTTCGCATATTAACTCATTCTCAAGGCACGAACTATAAGGAAGGACACATTGATAGGCCCATAACTAAATTGTAAGCCTGCCTCTGTATGATTTATAATAACGTTAGACTTTTTCAGCTGAAGTAGTTTGATGGTTAAATTGCTCTAGCACATAAGCTGGTTAAGCTGATTAAGGTGCACCATAAGAGAAAGGTATAAGAGAAGATGGGGTTTCTATACTGCTATCTAAGAGCACATAAAACAGGCATCAAAAGAGATGGGCCAATAACTCAAGCCGCCACGTCTCATAAAGTGGTATATAATGCTCGTTCATCTATTCTATAATCAGAGCCCATTTACTTGGTAGACGGGCATAACATCAGAAAGAAAGCTGGAATCATAACACATGAGGAGCTCTAGCCTCGACTATTTCCTGACGGATAGAAATCATTCCTTTTGCGCTCACGCCATATACCATATGTCGCTGTACTAAGAGTAGTTGCATAGAGGTACAAACGACAGAATGTCCAGCAATATTTTCTTCGAAATTATATCACAAGATAGTTCAGTTCGACGGACCATCCCACAACGATGATATTAAATTCTGCATATTATGTATGCACCTAACCTGGGTATGTTTAGATGGCAGTTTGGGTTGGTAGCTCCCAAGTGTGTGTGTAATCGAAAAAAAAATGAAAACAATTTCCACCCATAAAGAATTGGAATGGTCTATCAACTAAAGAACACAACTTCGAGATATGAAATTTGGCAAGCTTGACTTGTAGGGTAGTAATTATTCTAAGTGTGAAAATGATTGGGCCTCGGCGGGAAGACGCAGTAGGGCAAGGGTCCAACTAGCAAAGTCGACACACCCGCGCGCACACACACACACACACACACACACACATCCAGCGTAAACTATTATATACCGCAAAAACAGATCACCTTTCACCGACAAACGCCCGGTTAGCTCAATCGGTAGAGCGTGAGACTCTTAATCTCAAGGTTGCGGGTAAGTTCTTAATGTACTCTACACGTCTTGTATTACACACAACTAACATGTTCCCAAAGGTTCGACCCCCGCATCGGGCTCAATTCCTGATGCTTCCCAGTAAACTGGGATTAGCAACCTCTATTTTTTGCCAATTTTTTTTATTCTCTGTTTTTCTTATGTTTTTATATTTGTACAGGCCTTTGATCATATTATATCTCGATATTTCCATTCCGTGCTACGTCGTGCTTTACATTTTTTTTTCTCCCTAACTCGGCCTCGCACCAAGTATATACGGGTTTCTATGTGTGTGGGTCTTACTCACTCTTCCGAAGATCTCACAGGTGGGAGGCACCTGGATCTCCAAAGCTATTTCGCTGTGCATCGCATTCGATAAGGTACTTCTTCAGGATAATTTTTTTTTTTTTCGGGGCTGCTTTCGATGTGGCATCGGCCTCAGCTCACCTCCCCACTTGTTACACCAGCGACACGCCGGAGTTTCTTCGTAGTGGAACCACGTCAGTGTCGTGCTTCACTAGATCCCCCGCGCGCGAGTCCATTGTTTCAAGTCGATGATCCGACACCATTCTGACCCTCGTGGAGTGTGAGCGTCGGCCGATAACAAATAACTTTATCCGTCAATAGCTTCTAAGGAATAGCTCACCCTGATCTCAACGCTAGTAGTGATAGGTATTGTGACCGAAGGCCGCGCTTGCATATAGTTCGCGCCCGGCCCCTAAGAATTAGGATATCGGGATATGCTAAATTGGTAACAAATACTTCTTCGCTTTGAAGTATGCCATATGACTTTTTCAGTCGTCATCTGATTACAGTATATTCGGCCAAGCAGGCTTATCCTTAAGACCTTGGCCTTTTGAGCAATGAAGTCAACCGTAGATCTGCCACGATATCTAAGAACTCATATATCTACCAGTGACGTAAAGCCATAAATATATAATGCTGTTTCAACACCAACTACTTACCTCATTGAAAACACTTCGAAAAAAAATAAAAAATAAAAAATAGAAATGATGAACCAAATACCCCCTTTCCCTTAATGCTCAGTCCATCCTAAACGCCAAATGCCATGCAAATTCTTAGAAATGTCTAGAACACGCTATGCTTGCTCCATTTATTAGCGACCCTTATCCGCCTCCCGAAAAAGTAGAACACAAACGGCACGGGGACCAATAAGCACGCAAACCCGGCAAAGATGCTCGACCCCGGCCCGACCCCGATATTGTGATACAAAGGAGTGACGGCCAGAGGAAACGCGGCCGCAAAGCAGCTCCGCAGGAACGTGTTGGCCGCCACGGCGCTTGCCGCGTACATCTGGAACGTGTCCACGAGATAGTTGAGCGCGGCTTGGAAGATCGTGTTGAACCCGCACCCGGCTAGGTAGAGCCCGATGACGGGGGCGATCCAGGGGGCGACGGCTGGCTCTGCCGTCCATCCCGTGATGAACTGGCCCGCTGCGAAGAGGACGGAGCCCAGCATCATTGGAGGCAGCCTCTTTTCGGGAACCGGCCTGTCCCCTGAAGCGTGATAAGCCTTGTTATAATATAGCTGGTTGGACATGTTGATAACTGCGCCTGTGATGGAGCCAAGGAGGATGGCTAGAAATGGCAGTTCGCTCGACACCAGCGTCCACCCTCTGATCTCGCCGAATATAATCGGCACCGCGCCGAGCTGCATGTAGAGGATGCCGTAGCAGAAACTTGCGTACAGGGCGATGAGGAAGCAGATCGGCGTGCAGAGCAGCTGGATCGGGCGAAGAAGGAACTTCCGCGTGAGCTCGGAAATGCTGACGTCCCATTCTTCGAACTTCGCGTGCAACGCCCAGTTTCCTGTTTCTAGTCGCAGCCGTCTGGCTTTGGCAACGAGAAGCCTCGGCGGGTACGACTCGTCGATGAATATGACGGCCACGATCAGGATGACGGACTGCAGCATCCCCGTCGTATACTCGGTCCATCGCCAACCGAGGCTTGGTTGCGCTACGACGGCGGCCGACACGATAGGTCCGACCGTCGGCCCTCCCACCACAGCCATCGCATACCCGGCCATCGCGATACCGCGGTACGCCGGCGTGAACAAATCGCCCAGCACGCCGCCGGTATTCGTCACCGGGGCCGACGCGAAGATCGCGCCCCAGAAGCGCGTCAGCATCAGCGTCTGAAAGTCCTTCGCGGTCGCCGAGCCGAACGTGAAACAGATGGACACGAACATCGGCGTCAGCACCGCGACGCGCCGCCCGTAGACCTCTGACAGCGGCGCCCAGAGGAGGGGTCCGATGCCGAAGCCCAGCAGGAACAGGGTCGTGCCCAGCGTCGCCGTCTGCCTCCCGACATGGAACTGCTCCGCGATCTGCCGGGTGCCGGCGGAGTAGGACGAGGACGCCCAGGTCGCGGTCATGGTGACCAGGCCGTAGAGCAGGGTCGTGACGACCTTTTTGTGCCGCGGCCAGTTGACGGGGCGGTAGGGGTCGTCCGGCCCGTCGAAGTCCACGAGGGATTCCTGGCCGGTTTTCACTTTCGCGAGCGGGTGGCGGAACGGCGGGACTTCCGGACGAGAGCGTATCCGTGAGAGCACGGTGTCTCTGCGCGAGACTGTTCGCGAGAGTGGCCCGGACAGTCCGTCCGAGCCGTCCCGACCGCTTACGCGTATTTGGGACGGGCGCGTGTCGAGAGTACACGGTCGGTGGCCGTCATGGTATTTCTCGCTCGGCGGGCATTCGCAAGACGAATCCGAGTCGGGTTCGGTCGCGGGGGAGTTTGCATCTGGCATAGGTGACCTCAGCGGTGCTTTACGCGGGTGCTTGAATTCGTCATCGTCGTCAGTTATCGCCATTGTCCGTCTTTTAAAAGCTTCCCAGAAAATATATATATATATATATATATTAAAAGACTAGTAAAACAGTTGAAAATAATGAATGGCGTCACTTGGACGGATAGTAAATAATTTACATCATAGCTGCGGGCAAACAAATGCTTAAAAAGGTTCCTCGGTTATGATGACGTAGTAGTTCTCCAAGAACTTTCGATGTCCCGAGTAAAAGGGTCTTCAATTTTGACTAACCTTCCCAAGACATCTGAGCAAACATTCTTACCTACATCGGTTCCCCAAGTGACGAAATACTGGTGGTAATTTCTCCTTAATCGCCGCCGCTACTTCGTGAGGATCGCCCAAGAAATCATCCGACTGGCCATAACATCTGAGGAAAAATTCTAGACGGTTTGCCACCCGGCCCCGCTCCGGCCGAGCCCGTATCCGAGGCTCCGGGAACCCCCGAAAGCTAGGTTAGAACTTACCGATTTCGTCTTATGCCCGCCGCCAGGCTCCAAAGTTAAATGCGCAGTCTTGTACGGTGGGCCATTTCCTTGAAACCGCCAAACCGTCGAAATTCCAATGACATAATCAGGAAATGAATGACATAATCAAGAAATGAATGACATAAT